TACGTTTAGCTTGAGTGGCGGTTTATATTTACTTTGCTTCTTTAGGCGGAATTTTATATTGGCTAGCAAAAGGTTATGGTCTGTGTTGCCGTCTGCGCTTGGATATGTTTTTACCCTTTGTATTCCATTTCTAAAACGTTTATTAATCATTATAAGGTCGATCTGATTTCTTATTCGTCTAAGATCATTATCGCCCGGCGCCGTCCAAGTATGCAATCTTCGAGGGTGTAGCTTATAGAATGTATTTGTGACTGTTAGGTTTTTCTCCTGACACTACTCGACCAATCTGTCTCCACGTTCATTTCTCGCACCCAATCCGAAATTACCAACACAGTCTTGAACCTTACCATTTCCAATCTATGCATTGAAGTCGCCCATTATAATCAGCACTTCTTCTTTCTTAATATTTATTGTTAGTTCTTCTTGATCTGAGTAGAACTTTTCTATGCCCGCTTCGCTACTCCCACTTGTAGGCGCGTAGATCTGTACCTGATTTATATTTAAGGGATGTGCTCTAATTTGTAGTAGCATCATGCGGTTGTTATAGGGGATGAAATTTATCACTGAGTGTCTTAGTTATTTCCTTAGGATTATGCCGACTCCATTACTGTGATCACCATTGTCTGCACCAGAATAGTAGAGGATTGCTTCATCTTGATAGCAAATGTCTGAGCCAGGCTAGCGTACTTCCGATAGTCCTAGTATCTGTATCTGTAGTCTTTGCATTTCTCCTATTGTTGTTGCAAGCTTTCCAGTCTGAAACAGGATTCTAATATGCCATGTTGCGATACGCTTTAATACAGTTTTTGACTTCCATCCGGGGATTCTTCGCACCCCTGTCCCATCTAAGGGACGCCGGGGACTCGGGGCCGTTTCTTGACTAGTACTTATATCCATAGTGGCTATTCTTGAGAACATAATGCAGTGGTTTCTCCTTGCCTTCTGCATCGCAGTTTAATATCCGATACTGTCGATTATTTGACAGTCGCACATTAATATCCAGTAGCAAACCGTACCGAAGTATCTCTTCCCCGCTTTACCCTGGTGTTGGAGTTGCTGCTGCCCAACTCCAGTCTGCCTTCATTCTACCCCCTGAGGGCTGGGTTGCCACCTACGCCTTATCCACCTTTCTTCTCCGCCTTCACCGCCGGTGTGGTGTTCGCCCGTATCACCGGGCAAGGGGACAGCGGTATACCCCGCTATACTGGGTCCCCAGCAGAACTTAGCCACCGACTCATACGCGTGTCGGGCCCACCCCCGCGACGTGGACGCACCTGCTGAGAGTTGCCTGCGTGAATTCAGAGAAGACAGCTCTGGTTTTCTTCAGGCCGGGTTAATGTTCATGTATGTATCCATGAGCAAGGGCAAAATTGCAGTACAAATTAATAAAATGTATAAGAAGCAAATACCTAACGATTATCCGTTAACGAATATTCAGTTGGAAAAGTATGCTAAAAAGTTGTTGAAAATACCCTGGTTTAGGGGTGTTTTTATGAGAGATAATCTGCCCAGAAAAATAAGAAAAAATTAACGAGATATAATCAACTTGGACAGTAGAAACGGAACCGGAACCCACTGGACATGTTAGAAAAAACAGGGACCTAATATCATCTATTTTGACACTTATGGAAATCTACCTCCGCCACTGGAAGCATTGGCATATTTCAATTTGAATGGACCGTGCAATATACGATACAATTACGATGTTTATCAAAAATTTAATACCGTGAATTGTGGTCAGCTATGTTTACGTTTTCTTTCCGAATAAATTATTTATTATTAGCAAACTGTTATTCATTAATCCGATAACCTTTGTACAGATCGGTCGTTATGTATACGTTTACATTATCTGGTAAAGACTCGATACTTTCGGCTACCATCGTTTTGAACGATTCAAAAAGTTATGCGGTCGGATTGATCGACTTCGTTACTTTCAATACAATTCCCAATGTAGACAATTCCAACAATAAATTTTATATCGGAAGTCGTCAAGTTATTGCCGTACCTGAAGGTAGTTATGAAATTAATGACATTGAAAAGTTTATAATGGAGAAGATTACGGAGAAAAACGAAACATTGAAAAAAGAAAAACAAAAGAAACAACAAAAAACAAATGTGATTGAAAAGGAATTGTCGACGAATGAGGACAACGAAATCGTTTTATTTATGAGGGCCAATCTTAATACACTAAAATACGAAATTAAATCCAACGAGACGATACATTTTGAAAAAGGCGATTCGATTGCAAAATTGTTGGGATTCAAAAATAGAAAACTGTCTGTCAATCAATTACACATATCCGAATTTCCTATAAATATTTCGAAAGTAAATTCTGTTTGTGTAGAATGTAATTTGATAAAGAATTCTTATAATAATAATAATAACTCGGTACACGTACTACACATGTTTTATCCTAGTGTGCCGAGCGGAGTTCGTATAATCGAAAAAGTGTCAAATGTTATATATTTACCTATAAATTCTAATTACATTGACGAAATTATCCTTAAAATAGTGGATCAAGATGGTAATTTGATTAATTTCAAAGAGAAACGATAACGGTAAGAATACATTTAAAGAAAGTGGTGTCATAAAAAAATGGTGCTCCTCTATAACCTCAACATTCAAAATGGCGTTTTGACGTCGTCGAATATAAAAGAAAATACGGATCTATATAGAGTTAATCATAGTCGATCGTTGAAACCGTTAACAGTCCAAATTCCGAATTTCTTCGCTATCTGGGATTAACATTGAAGGGAAAAAATAAAAAGAAAAACGGCGTGTAAATTCCTGCTAAATATAACATTAACAATCCGTTCGGGTATAAGAAGACCTATCGTCTTTTGCAAGTGTTTTGGAAGTTACTACAACCATAAGAAGAAGAACAAAGAAGATGAGTTTTAATATTCTGAATGTAGGTGAACACGCATTTATGGACAATTCTATTATTAATTACGATAGCTACACTCCATATGCAAATACGACATTAATGAATGAAATGAAATACGGATTCCTATACAGGCTCAAAACGTTTACGCTTTACCGACCAATAGTTACATGTATTTCGAAGGACGAATTGTCGACAGCGAAAAAAAAGTAAGCACGACTCTTAAACCGATCAATAATTTTATAGCGTTTCTTTTCGATGAAATTCGTTATGAAATTGGAGGGATCGTTATAGCCAGGGTTAGAAATCCTGGAATTACAACTACTCTTAAAGGATTGGCATCTTTCACAAAAAATGAATGTGATCGATACGAACTTGCCGGTTGGAATCACTTGCAAAATCCCGAAATAACAAACAAAGGAGGATAGTTCAATGTAAACGTTCCTCTTAAAAATTTAATGGGATTTTTTGAAGATTTCAAAAAAATTCTAATCAATATGAGACAAGAATTCGTTTTAATTCGAAGCTCCAACGACAATAACGCAGTCATATCTACGAAAGAAAATGAAAAACCCAAAATAGAATTATATAAAGAGATATGCAGAATACCACACATACAAGTAGCAGATGTGGAAAAGCTACAACTTCTCAAGTATATAGAGAAAGGACGAGAATTAGAATTGACTTTTAGTTGGGAATTGCACGAATATCCATTGTTACAGGAAACGACTAAACACACGTAGAACGTTAAAGCCACAAATCAACTTGAAAAACCTCGATTTGTTTTAGTTGCTTTTCAAACTCTTCGAAAAAATAATGTTTCTAAAAATATGTCCAACTTTGACCATTGTAATTTAAGTAATATAAAGTTTGAATTTGAATTCAGAAACATATCCATATGATAATGTTAATTTAAATTTTACTAAAAATTATATCGCTATTTTATATGAAATGTACGCACAATTTCAACAATTTTACTATTATAAACAAATAAGCGAACCCTGTTCAACATTTAAGACGTTTTTACAGCTGGCGCCTTTCATCGTAATAGATTGTAGTAGACAAAATGAAAGTTTAAAATCTGGTTCGGTAGATATTCGGCTGGAATTTGAAACTTCTGAGAATATTCCCGCAAACACAACCGCCTATTGTCTTATCATACACGATCGTTTTATAAAATACAATCCCCTCTCTAGTACTGTCAGAATTATTTAATTTTGTACTAATTTTTTTGTATAGTTATTTGCAAATTAAAATAGTTTTACGTAATGGTGATCTTGTATTTGCGCATGCTCTTATTAAAAATGTATAAAATGTATCAAACGTTGCAAATATTATTCATTGTGTAGTTTATTGTTAATCTGTCAAGTTTAAACAAAAAACATGTTTCAAACAAAAATAATTTCTAGTCAGATTGTGGCTTTGAATTTCATCGATTTTGTCGTGCATACTCCAATCAAAGCAAACTCAATTTTGGAAAAAGTCTACGTTGAAAATTACACTTTTCCGATTGAACGAGGAACATTCTACCTATACGAAAAATCCAAAGAAAACATAACTTTGAAGCAGTGTCCGGCATTCTATTTTGACGGTGCTTTTCCCGTAGGAACGCAAATTAGAAATTCGTTTAATAAAACAATAGGTACAGTAATTTTATTTCCGAGAGAAAATACGATCATGTATTGTGGAAGATACGACTTGGAAAATCTAATTGGAAATCTACAATTGTTGAAAATTATGAATTTACATTAGATGATTTTAAAAACAATTTTGTAGAACTATCTAGTCTAGATTATCAATGTTTCATGTATGCGTAAAATTATTTATGTACTATTGAGAATTTAAATAAATATATTTATCGATAAACATGTTTTTATCTGCGCATCACCTAATCTCTGAAAAAAATAAGTGAAAAGTGTTATACCGTCAACTTATTCTAAATCTACGCAATCAAATAGTGAAAAATTTAGCAAATTGTAATTTTAACATATTTACTTTGTATGTACAAAATATAATGATTGTTAAGGGTTCCAATAGGGTCGAACGGTTCACGGTTGGGTTAGGAAATGGTAAAAAAAGCGAACGCGATAGGCAACGACCCACTGTGAAGACTTACCGCAGGCTATCGTGTCGTCGGTTCCGGACGGGGTCCCGTTTATTGCACTCGCGAACTTGCGGAATCGGCTCTGTTTCTGGCGCCGAACCATGCGGAAGAACTTAGAGAGAGAGAGAGAGAGAGAGAGAGAGAGAGACGTTATCAAAATATTTTAGTGAGAGAGATATATGTACCTATATCCAACCTGAATACATAGAATCATATTTTTTTTATAAATTATGAGATAAAAACCAATGCAACTGTCTACCTGCTCGGCGGGTATCGCGATAGCGGGCGAGAGGTAGGAGGTAAACGAACGCAAACCAGGCGCAAGCAAAATGTATCGTACCGACCATTACAAACTTATTATTAATAATACAAACTTTATTAGTTAGAAAATCCGCGGTCGAAGCGACCAAAAATTATATGTACAAAAATATGAGTGGACTGTATTCGGGCTGGTTACTATTTTTTGATTTTCCCTATAGTAAAGTTTCGAGATCGACGATATAATGACGACTCCGAAAGGATGCGGCCTACCTTGATCCCTTGAAGGGGGTTGCTGGTTCTCTGCACCCGCGGGTTTGACACGTACCGGCACTTTTTAATTGCTTTACACTTTGGAATTGTCCGTGATGCGTTCGGTTCGACGGTCGATCAGAGAGAGAGTCCGTGTGGATCGATTTAAAAATTTTGACCTTTGTCTTCGGCAGCAAGTAAAAAGAGTCGTCATTTTTTGAGCGCGAAAAAACTGCGAAATAAATTAATATATGTAGAGTAATTTAAAAAAGGAGTTTGCATAATTCATAAATCCCTTATCGGGACGATACAAGTATTATTCAGAATATAGATATCAGTCCTTTATCTACACCTGTAATTTCCGATGATTTGGAAGGGTCGTCGGAATCGTCGAGCCGTGTTTCCGTCGTTGGTGCTTTCAAAATCAGATTTTGGTCGATCTACGACTAACTCCATTTCATTAAAAAATAAATCCTGGATTTGTTTTTTAGTTTTTATAAGCTTTTCCTTATTTTCCTTGCATCGAGTCTGCCATTGCTTAAATTCCAGTTTATAAGAAAGGTGCAGCACACATTCAAAAAAACGAATCCAGGCATGCAGTGATGATAAACCGAACTGATATCTAGATCCGTGAATAACCTTTTGTTTTAAAACATTCTCAATGTTATTGAAATCTTTAGAGGTCAAATTACAAATATAACATCTCTGGGTGGATGGATTATCATTGACAGCGTTGCATAATTTGCCATCTATCACGGTAAAATACAAGGTGTGTTTTACAAGCACCTCACGTAACTTCATTTTTACCTTTGTTGTTTGTAAAACCGATATTTGTTGGTCAATATACTGCTTTTCCATGACAGAAAGCTCCGTAGTTTCATGTTTAAACTGAATGCGAATAGGTCTGCAATATCTGGTCGAGGAAGGTCTGGGATTTTAATATATAATCAATTTTTTTTTAAAGTTAGTATCACCATTAACTAATTGAATTGGAACCATTGACGTAAGAAAAATATTGGCATCTGAAACACTGGAATCTGAAAACTGTTGTTTATATTGGCTCATCACAAATTAAATTTAGATTTTTACACTCATCAGGTTTTAAAGAGTTTAAAACTTCTTTAAGAGAGTCACATAACCTCAAAATCGTATGATCCAACAAATTTTGTAGGGGCACTTCAACAATGTCTTCTGACACTTTGAAATTGTCTGGATAGCATCTTTTTTTTTGCAGCAGTGATGGATTCATAATTTACGTAGAGGGATTAAACTTTGTCAGTTTCGCTTAAAAAAAGGACATAGCTTCGTCTGTCGAAAATGGTACCTCGCAATCTTTTTGACAAGCTTTCTTATATTTTTTTGCACGAGTGGATGTGGTAAAAGCAACATCTTTTAACACCTCTGCTGCATCCAATTTACCATCAGCTCTTAACTGCATTTGGGTAGCATAAACCAATTCTTCAGAAGTAAGACTTTGAGCGTACCTGTTCCGTTTTTCTCCTTTTTGTTCGCTCACTTGAAGATAAAAAATCAGTGGCTGGTCTTCTTGCTTTTGGTGTTGTAGTAGGAAATAATTGAATAATTGAAGAAGAAAATTCTAATTCGGTTTCGAGCCAATCAAAATTTTTATTTCTAAACGCAGTTTTATTTCTAAATGCTGCTGACCATCTTGCGTAATATTTTTCTAATAATTTAGATAAGGTCTTAGGAGACTCATTGGACAAATCATGGGTGTTCATTGTAGAAGTCAATTTCTGTACTATATATTGGTACTGCACCTTTCTGTTAGTAGAGTTGCAACCTTTTAGCCATTCAATGAATTTACTCCTTTTAAAAGAGGCCGATTTAGCTGCAGAGCCTAAAAAAGACACAACAAGATATATTATAACACCTCTATGAAACAATTTTAGTAGCATATAAAAATACACAGAATATTCAGCTACAAATCGGATTTGGTACTATTCATTCGAACCTAGCTGTTTTTAAAAATAAAAATTGTTTTACACCCAGTTAGAATTTTCTTCTTTAAGAACTTAATTAATCCCAATAACAACAACAAAAAAGAGATAGGGTCAATAATTATTCATTCATTCATTGAATTTGTATCATTATATGACGCTACCAAAAAAAAAAGGAAACCGAAACAGGTACGCTCAAGTACAGAAACCCTTAATTATCTCCAAAACTGCCAATATGTTTCGGGACTTTTACGCGTCAAAAGCGGTGTTGCGAAGCTTAATAATAAAAACAAAATTTTAAAATTACGAATTACTGAATTGGACATGCGCAATTCATACAACAATAATGGCATTAAAATAACAAAATGATGACGTGTCACGTAAAAGCTGTAAATCGGGCAACATTGCGATTGGCATTTTAGAATTTTGCATGTTCAAAAACCCTACAATAGTAAATTTTACCAAAATTAAAAATATATACCAGCACTGACAGCACTTCTTAAAAAATAGATACCCTTTAAGATCGCAAATTATCGCATAATAAGAAAATATGTCTTTTTAAGGATATATTAAATACATATTAAATAAAAAAAGTTCAATGCTAATTTGAAGATGGGAAACGCGGGGAAATGTACTTTTTGTCCAAAGAAAACGAAATATTTATGTATTTTAAGAAGTGACGCCATTGTGACATTAAAACAATTCATAGATGATATTAATTGCATAGATAATAATAATTATATGCTTGTACTTACCACTAGCAATAGGCTCCGCACTATAATTTTATTATTTTTCAATCACCAACTTTCGCAAAAATGGTTAAATATACACTGATGCAATCTGATTAAATGAATACAAATTAATAAACTTTCAAGTTTCAATAACAATATGGCGCGTAGCAACACGAATCAAAACAAAAGTTTGTTTATTTATAGTAACTAGATTACTGAAATGTAATGGATTTAACTCAAGATTTTTAAGTTGGAGTTTCTGACTTCTGGTCAGCTTTTGAGGAAAATTCGCCTGTGTCTGCTGTACGCGAGCATGGATGAATCGCAGATACCGTGTAAAGTAATTTTAGTACAGTCCGGTATAAATATTTTGCGATCAATCTTTATGTCATTCAACGAGGGCAAGTATACTTCGCTTTGTAATAGGATCAGCTTTAATAGATAAATTAAAAACATTACAAACTAATCGGATCCCAAACAACCCCTAGAGTCTTGGTCTCCTCGCTGCTCCTTATGCAAAATTCTGAATTTGTGTTCAAATTATCGTTTTCTAAAACACTTAGATCATTCGATCTCCACTTACTTAAATTAAAACCTGATTTTAACAAGGTAGCCGAAACATTTTGCTTAAGTTTTATCGCGTCAGAAACATTATCTGCGCCCGAAATAAGATCGTCAATATAAAAATCTTCTATTATGATTTTACGAATTTCTGCATCAGTTTTCCCCCGATTTCATTAAGTGTACGCGTTGCTAAAAAACTTGAACCTTTTAGTCCATATGTAATAGTATCGCGCCAAATAATTCTTTGCATCCGATACATTTTCTCGATGCCTGCCGAGAGAGCTGTCTTGTGAGTACGCATTCGGACAATAATATCAAATAAATCACTCTGCAGTTTCGGTCCTAATTTCATTACTTCATTTAAACTTACGCCTGTTGCGGGAGGTGCAACATTGATCCTTAAAAACTACATGATGCGGAATATAATATGACAAGGCTGGTTCATTTATTTTCCTTTCATTTAAACGAGTCATTTTTTCATACTCCATTTTTTCATACTCCTGTAAAAAGGAAATATGCTGAGCGTTAGACAATTTTGAATGTGGAATATCGACGTTTTCGAGTTGCCAAAACTTTTCAATTTGTCGACTTAACTTGTCAATATTAAGAAAACGTTTACTATTCGATTTATTGTCAAACCGTTACATTTCATTGGACCAGCTAACACCCATCCAAGTTTTGTATTTTGCAAAACGGGATTTTTCTTTCCTAGTTTTATTTGACTATAATTTAAAAAGTCAGTAGAAATTAACCGCGTATCCACTTGAAAACAGATGTTGGAGATCGAGTCGTTTATACCTGAAATTGATAAGTCCAAACGTTTCCCTGGTAACTTAAATCGCTCAAAAAATTCTTTCTTACAAAAGTTAAATGGACTTCCTGAATCTAATAGCGCCCAACAGGAAATAAATTTATTGTCGCGGTCTAGAAAATAAATATAAATAAATAATAAAAATTGGATGTCAAGGCGACCGTTTTGTCTTCGCTTATATTATCCATTTTTGAATCGTTGTTTTTTACATTTTCATTTATTTTGATTTCGAGTTTAAAGTCAGGATCATGTTATGGTGTTTATTGCAAATTTGACATGTCCTTACCTTGGAATCATCCGCTTTGTGGCCGATTTGCAAGCAGTTTGTGCATATTTGAGTCCTTTTTAATTCGCATAACCTTTTTCCTAGAGAATAAAAGACATAGCAAGCAATTTCCGACACCTATATGTGACATGCCTGTCCTGTTTACAAAAAGAGCATCTGAATTTAAATTTAGATTGGGTTGAATGGTTTTCGTTATTAGTTACAACGTGAGAATGCGTTTTGTCCTTGCTAGCAGATTTATTGTCTATTTATTTTATAAATTTTATAATTTAATAAAATTTTATAATTTAATAAATCTTCTAGCTTCGGGCTTGTTATCTTGGTAGTGGAAGCTTTCCACTCTTTGCGAGTTTGATTATCTAATTTGCTTATTGTAACAAATAGTTTTGGTATGTCCCAATGATTTTTCAGTTCATTTAAATTTTGTAGCGCGCGAGTATTTCGCTGAATCGTATCCCTAGGAATATATGATTATGATTAAACATTTTTTTGTGCTCAAAACACTCTTTTAAAATTTCAGTCGCGACATCATAATTAGTTTCGCTTAGCTCTAATGAGTGTAAGAGTTGCGCTGCCTCACCTTTTAAATATGGCTGCAAATAGTAGCATTTTTGAACCTGTGACAGGTCAATTCTATTGAGTATGACGGACTCATATATTTTGAAAAATGGTATCCAACACTCGTAAGAATCCAAAAAAAATGGAACATGCATTGTTGGTAAATTAGGAATTGCTTGTTTATTGAATTCGGATTTCGGTTTGTCTGTTTGCCCTCGCAAGCTTTTCTAGCGACTCTGTCATTGTATAAGCTTTAGAAACTACCTTGAAATAGTTTTCTTCATATACATCGCGTTCGTTGACTTGCGAAGCATCTAGCATTGAATTTTATCGAACTCTTATCATGTTTCCTCGATCTTTGTTACGCATAATTTTAATTCGGACAAAGCTCTGCCATGTTGCTCAAATTGGGAAATTCGCGACTTGAATTTTGTTAGCCTTGCTTTTAGAAGACCTCTTTTATTTATGTGAGAATTCGCGGTTACCAATTAGTTAGCTTCCGTCATTTTTCTCGAAGTTTAATACTGCGCACGTACAAATCCGAATGACAAACTAGTAAAAACTAACTAATAAATTGAAAATATTCGAGAGTAACATGGAATTTTTGGAAAATGGAATGGACCTACTTGCTCTTTGTCGACACCTGCCGTCTGCTGGTTGCCAACCGCTGTACTCGCTTCAATCCTATTCGATGTCCTTTCGCATTGACTTTTAACGATATTCTATCCGGTTCGTGTCAAATAAACTCGCGAGTCAAATGCCGTTTACCGCACTTGTTGCATAATATACTATTACGTGCTTGTTCCTTTAAAAAAAATTAACTAAGAATCTGGCAAAATAACAGAAAGCCAAACAAATAAATAAGGTTTTATAAAATATATTACAATCAACATATTTTTATCAAATACGGCTCAACATAGATTCTCACATCCGGAATTTCCAGTTTGATATGGCGCTCTGGGAAAATTTCCCCTAAAAAAAGGCAGTGTAAATGCTGGGCTATTCAAAATGGAAAAAATACTTTTCTTCAAGTCAAATATAATTGTAGCCAAATCAAAATTGGCTGTTTCAAGTTATATATTGTAGTTCAAAAGAAATCATATACTTCGGACTTGCACAAATTATAAGGGAACTTTTGTTAGTAATTTTATGCTATTTTTTTCATTGAGCTCGATTAATTTATTAATGATTTCCTAGACTTGTTTAAGTCAGCTTGTTATCTATTGGTATAGTTTTATTTGAGAAAAATGACTTCTTGTAAATAAGCTTTCGGAAGTTAATAAACGCCATTTTGGGTCGTATTAATGACTAGTGAATTAGAAATTTATCAATGTATCATCGTCAACTTTTCGGTAAACAGAAGAATACGAAAACCCATTGTCCGGGAATTAGATTCCTTAGACTTAGTAAACAAAATATTATGCAATTCCCCAGTCCATCCTTTTTTTGGAGTGATAGTGATTTTAATAACGGTTTCCTGGTTAGTATCACAAACAGGAGTCCTCCATATGACTTCAACACCCTCCCCAATCTTAATACCAATTAAGACACTTACGCCGGACCATAGTTGCAGACATAAAACTTTTCGAATTTGTACTGCCCATCTATAGGAAAATGAGCGTAACCGCATCCGACATACATGGTGTTATCCCAAACCAGCTGAAATACGATAAAATGTAAATAATAAATACCTAACCGCCATAAAAAGAAAAGAATCATCAACTAGAGAATAAAAGAGATACAAGCAACAAGTCATACAAATAAATAAATAAAATTGATTTAAATACATTTTAAAAATTTGGGTATTTGGATTTTTCAGTCTGCTTTATCGAAATAAAATGATTTGGATTATCCGCTCCTAAAAAAAAACATCTGGCAACATCATTGCCTCACAAGGCGTATTTTATTACATTTTTATATTCACGGTTTTCTTTTGATTATTTTTGTGTAATACGTTCCCATACCTATCTAGTATTTCTCTTAAAGTTTAATTTAGTTGCAATTTCAACTAACAAAAGAATGAAATTTTTTGCTGTAGATTTATTTACATAAATTTATTCTGTAGTATACAGGTTGTTTAAAAATTAAAGATTCTAAAGTAAAACAAAAAAATGACCAAAACGTTATTTATCACCATGTTCAATTTTCACACACTCACCATGAACGTGGTGAGTGTGTGAAAATTTAAGTTGTCCTAAGTGTTGAGCCACAATCGATCACTTTCACAAATTTTCTTTCATTATTTTTTTTTTAAATAGAAACATTATTGTTATGTCCATTTATTGAATTCCGATTAGAATTGGATAGTTTATTGTTTTCATTGCTTAATTTAATATATTTTAATAAATATGGAGTAGTACATCATAAAAGCAAGTTTTAAAATCAGACTTTCAGCAATTATGTTTAAGAATTGTGGCGATTGTTTCGAAAATCTAACTACTAAGTCGACCACCATTGCATATTACCTTTATAATTCAAAATAATATACCTACCTATTTAAAAAAAAGTTTTTACATAATTGATAATTGTAGGTCGATTTACTAAGCCTTTCCCTACACTTAGTTTCAACTGTTTTCTTGTTTTGTCAAGTGTGACATGTTTTTGGTCCCGTTTTTGGTTTTGTTTGCATCAAAGGAGGTAAGGAACGATGGAACTGGCCTTCTAGATCGCCAGACTTGAAGCTCTTCGGTCTTCTTCAACTTGGTAGTCTCAAAGGACTATCTATGGTACTCTATGCCTATACAACCTAAAATAAGCTATATGAGCCATGCTTTCCCTGCTTTAAATTCACAGACACTTAATCGACAGAGGCATATTAGAATTTTGTACTTTATTTACTTTCATTCTTAATTTCTTGTTTCTGGTATGTTTTCATTGTGCTAATTAAAGTGATTTTTTGACGTTTGCAATGATAAAATTAAATTATTTTTCAGTATCTGCCAAGCATCACATTAAAATAGAATAACAAGAAACCGTTGAAATGAGGACGAGGAAATAAAATTTTCTATACCTGTTTGTGACAAACTAATTGTCACAACAATGTGCTGTGTTGCCAATTTTGTTACAGCATTTAAAAATTACATATACAGAGTTAAAGATGCGATGGCCCCAAATCAGGTGATCGAAGTGATAGTTCCAGGGTCTCTTTTCCGTTCTTTAACTTAAATGAAATCAAAAATATACCAAACCAGAATCAAAGTCCATTTGAGAGAACTCAACTTCTGACAGCAAATATGAAATGGAGAAAATGGGTTTAGGGAAACGCTTAGCCATTCGATAGAATTAAATTATGCATCACATCATGCAGTTCATATTGGAATAAACGGATATCTGAGGCTTTGAAAATGGATTAATCGATCGGTAAATTTTGGATACCCTGCAAGCGAAAGAATGATTCTGTTTTTTGTTCAAAGAACATTTGTCTATACTTTCAAATTTAAAGTTTCTCAATAAAATACACTCTTGTCGAGGTTATAAAAGTATCAGGAAAAAATAATCAAAAGAAAGCAAATGTAATTTGATATAAAGATGTTGCCATTATGTCAGTATGTTCGATAGGACAGACTCGGAAACCTAAGCACCTGAATTTTCAAAAACAATCTGTTTTCAGTTCTCCGCAAACGCTTAACGTTCTGTTGACCATCCATCACGCGTTACACGGATGAGGTCTATATAGAATGATTTAAACATAAACAATTTCTTTTTTGAATACATATTTCTAAAAAAAATATTATTTTTTCATGTGAACAACATTTGTGCGATATCTATTTTCCAAGCATTTTGTTTCCATAATATTTGGTTAAAATATCTCTTTTAGACCGAACAGATGTTAGAAATTTAAGGTGACCAAAGTTAAATTAAAATATGAATGACATTTCAATGCGGCTATAAAATATTATGTTGTCTTGAATAAAAAATGGGTTCATGCCTGGAGAAAATCCCCCCTTCACGTTAGATTTGTCTTAAAGTAGTACTTCATTATTAATTTAAATCTTTGTGTACTCAAAATTGAGTTTTATATACATATAACATGCCAGTGCCAGATCTGCCACCACTGGGGCCAAGATTTTGGATTCTTCCCATTTCTGAAATTACCTGTGTATAGTGTTCAGTTTTTTCTGAAAATCCGGCTGGATACTTGTAAGAAACATGCTCGCTCCACCAGGCCTCAATCGCACGGGTCCAGTTAGCACCTTTCTCGTAGTATGGATTGAATTTTGCGTAAATATTCTGACCGACTGACCACCTAGATAACATCAATTATAATATAAGAAATCTCAGCCTGTATAAATTTAATCTGACTATAAAAATATTAATACTGCTTTCAGGTAAGAAGGTACAAAATATGAACGTTTTTGGTACGTTTTATTCATTTAGACTTAATAAATCATATGATGGACAATGTTGACTTTAGATCTACTGCTACGCTATGCACAGTTAACTTCAATAATAATAACAACCAGAAACAACAAAAACGAAATTCTATAAAGAATTGAAATTAAAATAAATTCATATTATGAAGATTTAGAAAATTTATTTATACAGTTTTGTTACATTGAAACTTACGATCGTGGACAGCAACGTGTCCGTATACGCAGGTGTTTGCTATGTTCTGCGCAGCGTTAGCTATATTGTTGTCCCAGTACTAAAAAAAAGTAAACAAAATTATCTATAGTTTATAAATGGACTTGTGACATAATTGGAATGCTACTATTCGTTATCCCAAAATAAAAAACAGCGCTTCAAGTTTTATTACATTATGGTTCCACAAAGTCAATCTAATATTTCACTTGTCAAATACGTTTGTCAAATCTAATCAAAAAAAAGCTGCCAACGTTTTATAAAACCTCTAATCGTGAAATCAGATTGAATTTGTTAGTTTTGTTTAATTAGTAGTAATTTTGTTGAAACTGAAAAAGTGTCAGTTTAACACGACAGTTTCCATAACAACTTCGGATATATCCGGTATATTAATCACTGGTTTGGGAGCAATTGGATGCAGTGAAAATAGGAAAAATTTTACTCAGAAGGATTTTAATTCAATTGAAAAATCCTCTGGAAACTAAAAACCGGTATTCTTGAAAACGGAAAACATTAATGACAAACGGGGAAAAGATTCCATATCCAAATTTCGCAACAGCACATCGAGAATTTTATCAAAAGCCCATAATATATTTATTATTCTACGATCTTGGATGTTGGATCTATGGAACCAGAACGGAGACTAGTGATACAAGTTGTGCCACCATTACATTTCATTATGGTAGACGTTCCAACATTGGTATTTAATATAAACTCTAATAAAATGGGAGCCTCTTCAAAATCATCATCGATATAATACACAGTTGATTCAAGTTAGTAATTAAGTTTATTAATTTAGTAGTAAAAATATCGTAAGAGACAATCTTGCCTTTATTCTCCACTTCTATAATTCATAACAACTCCCTGGAAAGTTGTACAGAAAAATTTCAAGAATGGCTCTCTTTTAAGAACATTTCTATTTCCTAACATTCAAGAATGGTAACTCTGACCGTCAAGTCAAACGTCACTTAGTGAATGTATCCGCTCTTTTGCAAAAATGTACCTTAAAACTAACTCAAAATAAAAAACAGCGCTTCAAGTTTTATTACATTATGGTTCCACAAAGTCAACCTGATATTTCACTTGTCAAATACGTTTGTCAAATCTAAGCAAAAAAAGCTGCCAACGTTTTATAAAACTTCTAATCGTGAAATCAGATTGAATTTGTTAGTTTTGTTTAATTAGTAGTAATTTTGTTGAAACTGAAAAAGTGTCTTAAAAATTGTATATCCGGTATATTAATCACTGGTTTGGGAGCGATCGGATGCAGTGAAAATAGGAAAAATTTTACTAAGAAGGATTTTAATTCAATTGAAAAATGCTCTGGAAACTAAAAACCGGTATTCTTGAAAACGGAAAACATTAATGACAAACGGGGAAAAGATTCCATATCCAAATTTCGCAACAGCACATCGAGAATTTTATCAAAAACCCATAATATATTTATTATTCTACGATCTTGGATGTTGGATCAATGGAACCAGAACGGAGACTAGTGATACTAGTTGTGCCACCATTACATTTCATTATGGTAGACGTTCCAATATTGGTATTTAATATAAACTCTAATAAAATGGGAGCCTCTTCAAAATCATCATTGATATATTACACAGTTGATTCAGGTCAGTAATTAAGTTTATTAATTTAGTAGTAAAAATATCGTAAGAGACAATCTTGGCTTTATTCTCCACTTCTATAATTCATAACAACTCCCTGGAAAGTTATACAGAAAATTTCCAAGAATGGCTCTCTTCTCAGAACATTTCTATTTCCTAACATTCAAGAATGGTAACTCTGACCGTCAAGTCAAACGTCACTTAGTGAATGTATCCGCTCTTTTGCAAAAATGTACCTTAAAACTAGAAGAGCATAGCATGCAACGCGTTGATAAAATTCAGTCACGAATTTATTGAGCATACGCTCTGCTGTGTTCCGCTCGTGAAAACCTGTAACTAAAATGGCGTTTATCAAACTTGTTGCATAATATGCTATTATGGCAAGCCAAATGTCGGAAGTAGATACTGTAAAATACCCCCATTAACAATGAACAGTAGTGAGCACTTCCAATAACATTTTAAAAGAAAATGTAAGGGAAGAATGTACAACTTCAAAAAATACCCAATTAGTACTATTTACTAATCTGGATTCCTCATGCTTTGGTTATTAATGATATGTTGATTTGTATTTTTCGTTCTGTTTTTGAATTTTGTGCTCGATGCGTTAAATTTAGTTAAAATATTATGTTTCTAAAGAACTTTTATCAGTATAATATCAGTCAGTAATATTTTAAAAGATAGGAAGGACCGCAGTGGCAGGCAAAGGGCATCTTTCGGGCTCATCTTATTTGGGAGGTTGTGCTGAAGTGTATTTTGTTATAGAACGCTTAATATATTAAATATGGAAATTATTTGAGAGAAAAACTGTTTGGTGTTTTGATTTTGGTTCTGGTGAATGGGGTTGAAATAGTTTCAAGGGGATGTAAGCAGCAGAGTTGATAACCGATGACTTATAGGCCGGATGGTGATGAATGATCGAATGTTTGGTCTGATTTTCTATTATTAAAAATATCTAAGGATAGGAGATTATTATCAATGTCTAAGTTAATGGTTAAACGTACATCTAAATGGCAGTATCCCCAAATATCAACAACTTAGTTTTGGTTTTAGATCGAAAGTATCGAGAGCTTCCTTCTCAAAAGCTTCCATAAATATATTTTCCATGACATTCATAAATTCAAGAATAATATGTTCCAGGCAAGTACTTTTTAATTAAGATTAAGTTATTTTGATTCCAAATTCCGGAATTTTAATATATCTGAATTTATCTTGAGAGTAGCAACTAACCAGAATATCGTTTGGATCTAGTGCAATGGTTGTTGGCGAAAATAATAATTAAACCGGTTAACAAATTTTATTCGGTCAAACTAAATTTCTTTGCATTGTAATCAGTTCTCATACCAGATAAAAATCCGAGAATGCATAGAAATCTCTTAACAACCATTTAAATTTTAAATTTATTTTATTTTTGATTTAAAATTTAAATAATTTCCATTCCCATTGTCTATTTAACATTTTTAAAAATATGTCGATAGCAGACTAAATTTGCACTTATAATTAATGAAAATTGGCTGCTTTACCATCCGCTTTAAATTGATTCCCCTAGGTTGTCCGGGCAATTGATTTCTCGCTATCAACAACCTCAGCTCATTGTGTCTATTGACAATGTAGTTTTTTTCGGAGGCACTCACGCCAGTCTCTGTAAATAACGGTTCCCGTATATTTTCGTCTCGTTTCAAAAAAGCTTCAGCTCACAATTTTGAACTTACCATAAACTCCTTTAGAACACACAGCCGACAATTACTTACAATTAAAAATACACAAAGCAATACAGAAAGCTTCATAATGCGAGGCGTTGTTTGATACTACATTACTAAAATGTGTGTTTATATATATATATATATATATATATATATATATATATATATATATATATATATATATATATATATATATATATATATATATATATATATATATATATATATATATATATATATATATATATATATATATATATATATATATATATATATATATATATATATATATATATATATATATATATATATATATATATATATATATATATTCTGAATATAATCAGCTTATTTGGTTGTCTTCAACTACCCAACTTTCTTCATAATTTACTTAAAAGCACATAATTTACTTGTATTGGGTGAACATATCATTAGTAATACAATTTAAATGCACTCGATGTGAAGGAAAAGCCCGATAAGCCAATGTTTTTTTGCATTACGTTCAATAAACACTAAAAACACGTTACCTTTAAAAATATTATTACCAACGGCGTGTTTCGATCAGGCACTATACGACTATCCACTATTATCGCCGCAGACATACCACGGTTGTTTTTTACTGATATATTGCGCTAATGGATAACCAGTTTTTTTTTTCATGCAAATATTAAGTCCGCGCCATGTCATCAAAGATTTAACCAATTTAGAATTGCTTAAAAGCTAAAAACACAATATATGTTTAACAAATTGAATTTGGGATGCAATTTTCCCAAACCCATTTTTATGTAATTTATGTCCCACCCGAGGTGAGACTTATTGATCTTGAAATTTTCTTAACTAACTTTAAGCAGTTATTCTTTTTCTTAATTTTAGAAATTGCGGTAATTGAATACTGTACTTAACTACCATACAAGAACTCTTGATGCTTTTATCTCTGGAATACACATTGAGTTTCTAAGAGCAGATTCAGTGTCTTTTATCACATAAAATTTAGGCTGAGTCGATACTATTATCAGGAATTCTGTAGGATTAAAAGAAGTATCAAATCTGAGTCTAAATTGACTTACGATAATTATTGGAAGCATTGGAAGCATTCTGTTGCTACTGATCCTAAAATAAGTACTTCCAGGTTACCCATTTGACTTGAATTTAATAATGAAACTGTGGACACCTTTCAGCCTGTCGTTGATTCTCTTGCAGAATCGTTTAGTAGGGTTTATAGTTCTAAAAGTGTTATAACCTTAATACGAATTTGTACTTCCAGCTCGTTACGGGCTTTATTGTCAGTGATTGCGCTCAAATTTTTAACCGGATTATAAAATGCTGCAATGTACCAGAATGCTGGATGTTGGCTATGGTGTGTCCCGATCTGAAGAGTGATTCCTGATTTTTAAAATTATCAGCCAGTTACAATCCTACCTATTACTGTTAAAGTCTTTGAAAAACTGATTTTTGCATTATAGCAGACGATCTACTACTTCCAACTTAGTAGAGCCGGCAAAGTCTCTCGACAAGGAAATTCAGATTGATGTAGTGTATTTGGCTTTTGACCGCATTGACTACTCCATGTTGAATCAAAAATTTTCCGTGCTGATTTTTAGTGAGCCGCTTTTGTATCTCTTTACGTCTTATCTATCTGCTCTCAGCAAGCTATAATGGATTCCATTCGGCGCAGTTTATCGCAACATGAGTATTTGTTCCTACAAAGATGCTGTCATGGTTCACCATCAGCTCCCTAATGTTTATAAGTAGTGCGAGCATAATAATCTTACCATTGTATTTTTCCTTTTCTCTTTTTTTCTTCTTCCTTCTCTTTTCTTGTGTAGATGTCGCATTTCACGTAGTATTTTGTATTTTAAATCTCTATTGTAATTGTTTTATTACGTATTGTCCTGTAATTGGTGTGATCTGCGGCCCACAGAAGTAGGGTTACATTACGTTACATTCAATCTTTTAGACGCTGAAGGCCAATGCCAACGCAGTGTCACACCTTCTGCACTATTTCGGCAGACACTTCTATGGCCATCGTAAGTCCACAAACAATACCGTAACTCGTCATTGAAAACGATTCTTTTCCAATCATGATTCCAGTAAACCTGTTCTGGTGAAGATGCCAAATGTTACTGTCTATTCTATGGTTGTGCTTAAATGGTGGGTGTCTGCGGGCAGTGCTCCTACGAAGTGTATGGCGACGATGTTAAACTACTATATAGCATGTAGTACGATGTAGTATTACTGCCGAATGGAGATCCCAACCTCCCGTAGGTCTTCTATCCTATTTTGTTCAAATTCACTTACGGGTCTTCTATTCTTAAAGAAAAATATGGGGTTATTCTGGACTCCAAGTTCTGCTGGACGGATCACGTAAATGAAACAAGACAGAAGGCGTTCGCAACTGTGTGGTAAACCGTTCCCTCCTGAGGCAAATTAAAAAAGACTAGCAGGACATCAAAGTACCGCGCCGTCGCGACGGGCAGTCATCTAATATCAAAAAGGCGGCATTGGAATACCACGAGAAATCCTGTGAGTCGGTTCCAATTCACTATCTACACGGTCCTTTGCTTATTCCTTGCACCGACAATCGAAGAATTGACATTTTAAAAACAAAACAAAAAGATTTTATGCATTTTTAAAATCGCAGACGAGCAACAGCGATCGCTAAATAGGCAAAGAGGTACGGAGAAGGCAAAATTAATAGTATTTGACAAATTTGTGAAATCTTTCGAGGGAGTAACTTTGAATGAAACGGATGTTTTAAATGTCGCGGAGCATTTAAATGAAGCAGAGCAAATTGCGGCCTATTTTAACGCGCATCAAACAACTCTTGAGTTAATTACCGACAAAAATGATGATTTCGAAAATATGTTATATTCCACAATTTTAAGTGCAAAATTTTTCAAATATAAAATAACATGCCAAAATTTTTCCAAAATTTGACATTCAAATCGAAAAATGGCTTGAGTTCAGGGATACTTTTCAGTCGCTAATACATTTATAAATATCTACATATATCTAAGGGCCTCATTGCAACGGGGTCCCGCGGAAGTTATCCGTTCAATTGAACTCTCTTCCAAGAATTACAAAATTACTTGGCAAACGTTACGATTACGATATTACAATAACAATCGACTTTTAATAAACACTCACGTCAAGGCTTTGTTTTCTATCGGAGACTATCCAAAAGAAAACACATCAAAATTATGCGATTCGACTGATTGCGTTTCTTAACATTTTTACAACGACTAAATATTGGGAGACAATAATTATTTATCTAATTACTGCAAAATTAGACAAAAACACTATTAGAGAGTGGGAGTAACACAAAATAGGCCGACATGTTTGACGCAATCGAAGCAAACAATTCTGACAAATGTCAACAGAGATCCATTAAAAATTCCCAGATATGCGGGGCAATTCTTGTAGTTTTTATGCTGCAAATCTCAAATGCGTCTAGTGTAAAAGTGATAATTTATTTCACAAATATGAAAAGTTTCGGTGAACGAAGGAATTGATTTTATGAAAAATGCCCGTTTATGCACGTAATTGTTTCAAAAGCGGATATTTCGAAAAAACTTGCAATTCTTGCAATTCACACTGTTGCATGTTGCCAGCGGGTTTGAAATTATTGCGAATTCCAGTGGCGTCTCGTCAAATCAAAATAACGATTCTTCGAAGTAGGAAACACGTTCTACCGAAGCAAATAGAGTTGTGTTATCTTCCTCATGGTTAGAAACAAGTACAATTTTGCAGCGTAGAAATTTTTTATCAATTTCAAAATGTTCACGTCATACGCGCTTTACAGATTGTGGTAGTAAGTCGAGTATTATTTCAGCTAATTTTGAAGACCTCTATAGCTAGGTAAATCTAAGACTACTGTCACAGTCTCAGGTATAAATAATTCGACATCAAATATTTTACAAAAATGTGTTATTTTCATTTGTTTAATGAACGGAAACTTCAGTTCAAATCTTTTGTGCTTGGTTTTACCTAAATAAAGCCTAATAAACAAAAAACACGGTTAGGTTGGATTGTGTGCGACCCAATCGACAAAATAAATTCCAAAACTACAAAATGTCATTTTAGTCAACTTTGCAAATTCTGGAAATTGGAGGAGATCTGACTAATCAAACATCCAGAGAAGAGGGTGCTTACGAGGAATATTTTACAAACAACATGGTACGATATGAAAATAACCGATTTGTGGTTTCGTTACCTCTAAAGCTGATTGCTTGGGTGACTCCGTTGAGCAGGCGGAAAAACGATTTCTACTTCAATACGTTTCCTTTATGAAGGAATATCAGAATTTGAGTCACATATCTCTCATTGAATGTCCATATTCTCTTAAAGACGTGGCTTATTACTTGCTACATCACGCCGTTCTAAACTCTAGTAGACTAACCACTGCGTTAAGAATACTATTTGATGCATCAGCTCGTACTTCAAATGGCATATTACTAAACGACATCTAGTTAGTGGATCCTACTATTCAAGAAGATCTACTTTCTATAATTTTACGCTTCAGGTGCCGTCAAGTTCTGGTCAAACATAAGGATGGACCTCTTGTGGAGAGAATCTCCGTCAAAGGAGTTAGAAACATACGAGCTAATCATAGTAAGTTATGGTCAACTTTTCGCTTCTTTCTTAACGTGTTTATTCGAACTTGCAAATCAGTGCGAAAATGAATATCGAAAATCACTGACTTCTGTGTCAACGATTTGCAAACAGGGTCTGACACTATTGAAGGTGTTTCACATATTGTAAAAATTTAACTCGAATTCTAAAAGATAAATATTTTGAATTGCGCCATTGGTGTTCCAACCTATTATCTTAAGAGACTTAGATAATTCCGACTTTCCCAACAACTTTTCAAATTTCGGTTTAAATTAAAATGCAAAAATTCGTGGTCTAATTTGGAATTGTGTTTTACACAAACTAATATTCAAAATCAATACATGCCAAGGAAAGACCCCAGTTAAAAAACGCATTATTTCGTTGTAAATTACTCGAATTTTCGGTCCACTTGGTATTTTAACGCCTTTCACTATAGTCGCAAAAATCATAATTGAAAAATCCATCCCACCCAGCACATACCACGTGCACAAAATTTCGAAGCGAACTTCCAAATTTACACAATCTTGAAGTACTCCGATTTGCTTTATTAACGTAGAAGTTCAAGGTTCTTGTGAAAACTTTTGTAGGTAATCGAGTAGCAAAACTTCAAAACCTAACTTCCAATTTCGAGTGGCGATATGTTCCTGCCAAAGACAATCCCGCCGGCCTCTGTCACGTGGACCCTATCCGGGTCAAATTAACAAGATTCAAATAAAGCCTACATTACTTACATTATATGTTACACCTCTTCTATGAAATCAATATACGTAGTCCCCCTTCTAGTCGCTAGGTGGCACCACAGCTTTAAAGCAGAGCCAAAAAACTATGGAATAACTTACCATACACGGTATATTCGCCATCTATAGTATTAACCTCATTCCTCTTTTTGTGCTGTGGCGGCACATGTTCATTTTTATTCGGCGTCGGTGTTTTCAGCTTTTTTCAGCGATTTTGGAAGTTAAATGGAGAAGTACAAGTGAGATTTACATTCTTCCTTATCGGATGAAGAAAGAACCTACCTACGGCGAAAGAATAAATCTTTCCGTCCGCGATTACATAATCGCTAGTGGCGTGGTTCGCATCAACAAGATTTTCTCACAATTGGAAGACGATTTCTTCATCGTCCGGGTTCCGATCGGAATCCCCAGAACGCGAAAGACCCCCCATCTTTTCCACTTATACGAGCAGTCGTATGTAAGTGTTTCAGAATTGGAAGCAATCCTTTTGTGAGGGGGTCGGCAAGACATATGGTTTTATATTTTTTCGACATCGAAAAAATAGAGTTGTCTGGTTCGTCCGGCTATGGATGAGGTGCCTGGGATACTGGGACATAATGAATAATTTTTTATGGCTGTTGGGATGCGCTTACTCTAACTAAGTATATTTTTTACGCCCTCAATTAATTAATTCTGATGTCATTGTTGAGCCCCTCGAGACGGATTTAGAGCAAAATGGCCTTTAAGCTATGGGGTCGATAGTCCCACAAAGTTTGACGGGTCAGCCGATTCATGACATTTTGGCAAGGCAGATTAATACCTTTTTGAAATCCGGTGGGTTCGAAGATTGTCTCAGTGACCTTTTGCGTTAATATCCTGTGCCGAAGAATTGCCCGCTCAATAACCCTCCTAAATTGAATGTGCAGATGAAATCTGCCGTCAACAAAGGTGGAAAGAAAAGGGATGAGGGACTGACTGCAACACAGAAGGAGTAGGGGCTACCTTCTTCTTTTGACAGGAGAGGTCACCATTTGTGGAAATCCCTTACCCAGGCAGCAGGGATTTTGTCAGACAAGCATTCCAGAAGATTCGCTGGATATTTTTCTATCATCTGTTCAGAGCGCTATCTTGAGGCAATATAATAATGCATTTACACTTTGGTGGAGCTTCTACAAAAGGAGGGGAGTGGAGTGTTATTACTTCTCATGTAGGCTGTATTAGATTTCCTTACTATTCATTTTAGACAAGGCAAGTCCTATGGCTCATTGAGTTCTTTCAGAGCGGCACGGCCTTATTTTTGAATCAGAATTATTTAACAATGCAAATCTAACTAGGTTTTTTAAGGTGTTTATAATCTAAGGCCAAGTAAACCAAGACATGACAGCACTTGGGACCCTAGCTATGTCCCTGACTTTGTAAAAGGGTTACGTTCTAACGACTTGCTGTCATTAAAGCAATTAACTGTCATTAAAACAATTAAATTAGTTTTTTTACTGGCGTTAACGATTGCCAAACGCTCTCTCTTATAGAATTGGTCAACATAAAATCATTTTCAGATGGATTAGAAATTAGAATAACAAATCAAATTAAGATTTCAGCTATAAATAAGACTCGACCTGTTTTTAATTTTTGTGTGGTTTCAAATATTCTGTTTTATATTGAGAGGACCAGTGCTTTAAGAGGCAGTGAATCTCGTTTACTTATTACATTTAAAAAGCCTTGTAGAGCTGCAACTAGACCCAACATAAGCAGATGAATAAAGATAGCTTTAGAGGATAGTGGTGTCTACACTTCCATTCTTACTGCTCACAGCACTCGACATGCCTCAACATCGTCTGCGTTTTGTAAAGGTGTTTCAATTGATATGATTGGAAAAACGGCAGATTGGTGAGAACGCTCTAAATGTTTTTCCCTTTTTTGTAATAGACCTATTTGTACAGCAGGTGCAGGCTTTTTTGTTAATGCCACATTCAAATACCACTTCAAAAGGTTTGGATTTCCTTATATAGCCGAATAAAATCGTCGTATAACAAATTCGCTGAGTTGCCTTTGAAAGCCTACGTATATTAATTTCATAGAAGAGTTGTAACATATAATTCGATGATCAAACGAACTTACCTGGCAAGTGAAGTTCGATCGTAATTATATGTTACACCTCTTCGTAGAAAGCACCCATTTCCGCCCAATGTACTGTTCTGAACAATACTAAAATGCCCTTTGGCAAATTTATTATAAACGGGCTTTAAAATAGATTGAGGTTAAGACCATAGATGGCGAATATACCGTGTATACTAAGTTATTCCACAGCTTTTTGGCACTGCTTTAAAGCTGTGGTGCCACCTAGCGACTAGAAGGGGGACTACGTAGGGGGATTTCATAGAAGAGGTGTAACATATAATTACGATCGAACTTCACTCACCAGGTAAGTTCGTTTGATCATCGAATTATAACAACATTTTTGGATAATTGCTTGTTTATCATTCCAAAATCTATCTCTCTCACTTGACGGTCGTTTAACACCATTTGATAAACTTTAGCAATATTATCGTCAGTTTTAAGACGTTCCAAATGTTCATGATCTCCTAACTTTAATTTGCGTAGGCGTAGTACCTCTCAAAAACTCATTTTTTTCCATTTTCACGAAAACACTCACATCGACTCTCTCAAACGACTCCCAACTAAAAACTACGAGTCCAAAATGGCTGAAACTGTGGTAATTATTAAGAGGTGCATAACTACGGTCGCTAGCTTTTAGTAACTAGTCGCAATTAAAATTAGCGTGGTATTTGCCCCCGCTCACATTCATCCCTGAAGTAAAATTGCTAGTTTAGTTGATTTCCGAATAGAATTTTTATTTTGAACTTTAAGTTCTGGAACTACAATGAAGCTAGTATTTTCATAACTTCTTTTTGTTTTTCTGCACATTTGGGCAAGACGTTTTTCAGTTTCCTCAATGCTTTTCCTATGATATTGGTGATTTGAAAACGGTTGTTTCCTGCTTCACTTCCTTCTCTTGTTCTGCTTTATTACTTGCTTCTGCTTCTCTATTGACGTTTAAAATTGCTGGTATTATGAAACTATCTATGACTTTCTGGCTTTGCAAATATCTATAAATGTCTGTTTTTTGAATCTTTATCTTTAAATAAGTTGCATTTATTTGGATTTTGATTTATAGTTTCTCTGTACGCTTTAGTTTGTTATCGTTCCCCATTTATGAAAGCATTTTTTTCGGAAAAAATGGGGAGAAAAAATTAAGAAGAGCCTGGCCATATTGATAAGGACGGGATATATTTAAAAAACCGATTTAGGCAACCAGCAAGTATTTTTTTATACAAGTATAACATAAAATATTTTGTTATGTAACCAAATTATTAATTCATAAACAATATATATAAAATTATTGTCTCCTCAATTTTCAAAGGAAAAAACATACCTTTAGGGATGGATGGGAAAAAATAGTGTACTTACCAGTTTTCATGCAAATTAAAGAAGAAATAATCACTTTTACCTCTAGTTTTAGTACCATTAAACAGAACGACAAATATCATAAATGTATCAAGATGACGCTCGCGGATTTTGTTTTTTCATGGTCAACTTTGAAAGCTAGTCGATAACGTGGCTAAGATCAAGTAGATTGACTTACTTTTAAAAAATGCATGACAATTATTACCTGAAAACAGGAAGTAAGTTACTTGAAATAAAAAATAAAAGTGAATCCCGAATTAAAACTATATATATTTTATAAACTAGTATTTCAAACTACCCTTCCTGGATGTGTAGAAGAGAAAGTAATTAATATTGACTGAAATTCAAGATTGACGTTTTATATTATGATTAAAAAGCAGCAGAGAAGTCAGAAACGTAAAAAATATATCGATGGAGGTTTTAGTATTGTCATGACCTCTAGCAGGTCATGGCAATACTAAAACCTAACTAACCAAAACTAACTTTATTGACTAGTCTATACACACTTTTAGAAGTAAGAAGTAAGTGCACAGAAAGAGAGATCTGGGATTATACAGGACAAGTCTCGTTGTAGGATTACTGTGCAACGGCTACTCAGGAGCCACTTGGTGGAATGTCAGCGACAAGTCGGGCCTTTCAAAGTTCCATTGGGCACAGCCCAATGGAACAGGCCAGCTCACAGAGACGGAAGTTCTAAGACAAGCCGTCAGTCAGGTCAGATTGCTGGTGGTGGTTTAAATGCAGCATCCTAAAATAGCCGAATTTCCGCGGATTAGGCGCTCGTTTGGCACAGCATGACCTGACTAATTGATATCACGTTCGTTTTAATTACAGTTCACCATCAGATACCCATAACGGCTACCTAAAACTATACAGTCACATTTATGGAGTCCGCAGCCTTGGATTAAAGATGCCAAAATCTAGGCGCAAATGTTTAGTTATAAAAAACAGCACATTGTATTGCGAAAACATTTATTGAGCAAGCAATGTAAAAGTTTCAACATAAATTCTGGCATCCTGAATTTCCGGTTTTGTACGGAGCCCAGTCATAGTTGCCACTGAAAATCATAAAAGATTAATCAGATTAAAAGCAATTCAATGCAGTCAGCCTATAATTCATTGGTATAGCACGACACTTACGCGGGCCCATAATTGCACACATAAAATTTCTGATAATTATATTGGCCATCGTGAATAGGGTAATGGGTGTAACCGCACCCTACGTGGTCCGTGTTAGCCCAAGCCATCTGTAAGATTATTTGGTAGGAAAATTTTTCCAGTGTTACGTCACAACACGCAGTAGCCTTTACCTGGGTATAATGTGCAGTCGAATATGAAAATCCATTTGGATAATGATACACTTCGTGTTCGTTCCACCAACTGTAGATTGCGGCTGTCCAGTTTGCACCTTTTACAAAGTTGGTACTTTTGCTATTAAAAATGTTTTGCCCTACTTGCCACCTCGCTATAATAAAACAAGGAAAAAATAATAAAAAAAAATCGACTTGGGCGAGATATGTTTATATGAAAACCATCCGTGTTTCAAAATTTTAACAATGAATGGATTGGATTGACTTGCTTGGGTCAGTTGTGCTCGTTTTTTTTTTTTTTGAAATTGGTATAAGATTATCTAGTTTTAGCGCATCAGGGAAGATTGAGTTGAAGAAAACTTTGGAGATTAATAAAAGGCAATTTTGGTATTAAACTTTATCACTAGATACGTGAAAGACAATGCAGTGTACATCTTTATATAAGCTTTTATCGTTGAATTTTGTTGAGCACTGCCGGAATTATAAATTACCCCAAATAATAGTTAAAATTAGAAAAACCATCTTAAATATTATACTTACAGTCGGATACGTCTGCGTGTGCGTAATGGCAAGTGTTTGCGATATTTTGTGCAGCGGCGGCCAAATAGTCATCCCATTTCTACAACAAGGCAAAATGAAACAAATCCATGGACCTGTATTTGCGGTTGACGAACATTTATGATTTTGACAAATTTCGATATAAAACGTTATATTACATTTTAAAAGATAACTGCTTACAAGTTCCTCGGGTTACGTTTTTAACTCCATTTTAATAATAATGTCAAATGATTCAATGAAACGATCTGAAATGTATTTTAATAAGCGCCCTAAGAATGAATTTTATGAAAATGTGAAAATACTTCAGGTTTTTTTATACCAACAATTGGAGAGAGAAAGTGAGCAAGTTTTTTAGATTATTCTAAATTTTGTGTTTAGTTTTGTTGTTGTGAAGCTTATCATCTATTAAGGCTTTCAAGGAAATAATTCGTAATACGAAATTTATATTTCAAATATCTACTAATGGCAACTCTCAAAGTACACTGAATTTCATATTCTCAATAATCTTTGCGAAATCAATATAGAACAGATGTAGTAGTTTGAACCTTGATCAACATTGCGGTATCACAATTTTCACTCAGAAGAGGTCTATCATGGTGTCAAATATAATGCGGTGATTGTAAGGCCATTTCTAATTACTCATGTTATGAATCACCGCTATTAGTTATGGAAGATATCATATTATGCTGACATCTAAGAATTATAATATGAAAAGACATGCATTATAATATACTGCAATTATTAGCTCTACACCAACGTAAGATGTAAAACGGTTCGTTTTATTATTTTCGTAAATATATTTTTTTGGGAAAGTAAATTAAAGTGACGCAGTAACCTCTACTTTTCACCTTTTGCCAGACCACAATGACGGGTAGTACGCGAACAGCATTGGCATATTGCTTGTGCTACTACGGTTGGAACTTCTTCTTTGGATAGTATTTCTACAAGAATAATTCTTCCCGATACAGGATTGAGACTGGACTAACCAACTGCTCACAGTGAGTTTAAGTTGTCCGTTAGTTGTAATCCTGTCTAGTTATGTTTAAATACGGAAAGACAAATTTTATGAAGAAATTGTTAATAATGGATTAAAAAAATCACTTATCCCAGATTTAAAGTTAAAAACGCATCTATTATAAATATTTAAAACATTTATTTACAAAATAATTCAATAAACAAATGGATACCTTTTATTGTTGATCTTTTCATAATGACGCTTCTCAACAAAGATATATTTAGTTGGCGATAAAATCAAAAATTATTGATGCCGCGGAATATTTTGAATTGTATAATTTCGAAATCCAAAATGATCAAAAAATAACATGTAGTCAGGAAAATATTGACTTAGTATCATCAATTAGGCACAAACATCTAAATTCGGAAGAACGGGCAAAATTATTTCAACTAATTGAAAAATTCAATAATATTTTATATAAACCTGGAGACCAACATACCTTTTCAAATAATGTTAAACATGTTATCAAAATCACCGACGAAATTCCGATGTATAATCAAAGGTATAGATATCAATTTATACATAACAAAGAAATTAATAAACAAATATCGCAAATGTCAAATGATAAAATTATACAACCATTAAACTCTTCGTGAAGGTCTCCTGTTTGGATAGTTCCTAAAAAGATGGACGCCTTTGGACAAAAAAAAAGGCGAGTTGTCATTGATTACAGGAAACTTAATGGAAAAACAGTTGATGAAAGATATCCTCTTCCTAATATTTCGGATATTTTGGATAAACTCGACAATCCCAATACTTTACAACACCTGATCTAGCGAGTGGATTTCATCAGATAGAGGTGCACCCAGACTCAATGTACGCATGCCTTTTGCACTTAAAAAATGCTCCTTCGACTTTTCAACGGGCAATGAATAATGTTTTATGCAGATTACTAGGAAAATCTGTCTAGTCTACATGATACAATTGTCTTTTCGACATCATTGCAAGAACATTTAGACACCCTTAAACAAATTTTCGAACGACTTAACTCCTTTAACATGAAAATTGCTCTTGATAAATCCGAGTTTCTCAAAAAAAAAACTGTTGAATTCTTAAGACATGTTATAACTCCAGGTGGTACAAAACCTAATCCTAACCTAATGGATTAGTAGGCTATTACTGGAAGTTCACTAAGGATTCTGCAAAAATAACTAAGCCGATGAGTCAATGCTTAAAGAAGAACAAAAAATTATTCACGATAAACCACTTTTTGAGTCATTCAAAACTTGTAAAAAAATACAATGGCGAATGTAATTATTCTATTATCGAAAAATAATTGTTAGCGATCATTTGGACTGTTAAATATTTCCGCCCTTATCTTTTTGGACGTAAATTTCTGATTGTAACCTATCACAAACTTCTCCAATGGCAAAAGAACAAAATTCAAAATTAGTCCTGTCGATAGTCCACCAATTCACGTTCAATTTTCTTGTGAACGACCCGATCCAAAATCAGATCAATATCTCTGGCACGAACGAATTAAACATTTCTTTGACTCACAAGAAACCATTCCACTCTTTGACACCATTCAAAAGGATTAAAATAGAAGACATCTTTCTAAAAAACTTGTCAAGGGTTCTGATATTCATCAGCGCATCACCCGTCATAATTATATATTATATATTTAGAAATATTTAGAAAACGTCTTAAAACTAATATACTCTCCAATTAATACTATTTTTCCCATTTATTTGCCTTATCTCTGTAGTTCTGTGCAACACATCCCAGCCACTGTAATTTTTTTTTGTAAAACTGTGTATCAATTAATCAATCAAATTAATATTGTAAATTAATTCATAAAATCTCTTCAGTTAGGGTGCTTAGGTGAGTAGCTTTCCTAGATTTTGCCATCCTCCTATCTTAAATTATTATTATTATCTATTTTTTTCCCGTTTCCACAGGTAAGTACTTTGAACACGCCTTTCAGCAAGTGCCCAAATAGTTTTGTGATGTTGAATCTGTTTTGTTTTCAGGAATTGACCTTCAAGGCCCCTTCGAGCAATGTGGCATGTGCCTTCTGAAGCTTAAGGTACAGTTTCGGTATTTCACCAGTTTCTCCCACAATTATTGGCACAATAACCACTTTTTCCTGGTTCCTGAGTGTTTTCACTTTGGCGGCGAGTGGCACGTATCTTCGGACTTTGTCAACCTGCGTTCCCAGGACGCTATGGGCAGCCGGTAGTGCAATATCTATCAGGTACGTAATTTTGTTGAGTTTGTGTAGCCTATTGTGTTCCAGGGCGTGATCTGTTAGTATGGTTCTGTTCCAGTATATTTTGTGGGTTTCACTTTCGGTAACAGGTTCTGGCGGGTAGATTGTAGTAAGGAGGAGTCTCCATCAAAGTACCGATTCTTTGGGCTATTTCCTTACCTATTTCTTTACCTTACTTTAGGTATGTTATCGCGCCTTCTGAGGTATTCTGTTGGAGCTAAGGTATTACCTGATCATGAATGACGTGCATAAAGCCCTCAGCGTGCTGTTTTCTAACCAGGCGTTGGAGGCATTGGTGTCTGTTTGGTCTAGTTCAATTGTAGCGGGGTACCGTCCATGTAGTTCTTTTGGTTTCCATCTCTGCATCTTATCTTCAGCAGTGATTATTTCTAGCAATGGTTGATAGTCTTTATCTGCCATATTAAGAGGCGTGAGTTTCTTGTCTGCATTCACGATGTTGCGGTGATACGTGGATGTTGTGTTTTTTTTTCATAAAAGAACCTCAATTCGTCAACCCGTTCTTGGCAGGCATCTTTTAGGTCTAGCACACCTCCTCCTCGCACATTGCTCCCCTTGCTTCCTTTTCTACAGCCGTTTTGCTCTCGCGTAAGCATGTCGTTGGTAATCAGATAACGACTGACTAATTTTTCTAAAACTGATGTTAGGTTTTGTAGATCACAGGCAAGCAAGTGATGGGTCTGTAATTTTTGGGTTCATTTGTGTTCTCGTTGTGGAAGCAGGTTGGGGTTAACAAGTGCTTCATTGAATCTCTCCGCAATGTGTCTGTATGTGCTCGTGAAGTTCCTCCACCAATAGGCATGGATCTGGTCCGCTCCGGCCGCTCTCCAATTTTGAAGCTTTGTAACTGCACTTTTGATGTCTTGCTCGCTCACCTGTATGAGGTTCAACAGTCGTGAAGCAGTGTAGCTTCTTTTCTCCCTTTCTATCCAATATGCAGTTTCATTGTGTGCTACTGGATTGGACCATATATTTTGCCAAAATCTAACCAGTTGGGTTTTGTCCGGAGTATCTTGATACGCATTTGGTTGTCTAAAACTGCTGGGGACTTTTTTGGAACTGTTTGTTTTGCTGGTACCTGGTTGTTCTTTTCGTCTACCTTCGTATTCGATTTCCATAAGCCGCTATTTTTTGTTTTTGTTTGTCCATTAGGTTCATGAGATTCACTATAACGTCCATATTGGTAAGTTTAATTTTGTTCTTTTTGGCTATGTTTTCAACTTGCTTCCTCGATTTTGGTGTTGGCTGTTGATAGAGATAAGTATGCAATCTGCCTATATCTGCTCTCAGGTCCGTCAAGCATGGCGAATCACCTATTGGTTATGGTTTTCCCGCTTGTGATAGGACCAGGGGCAGGTACAGGAGATTGCAGACTGTGGCAGCTGCACAGTATGTCATGTGACTTGTACACTCGAACATATCCTATTGTGTTAGCTCTGCGTTTAGTACTCTGTGTACTTCTTGGACATATTTTTTCGTAGCTAGGCACATTGGTATTTTGGGTATACGCGGTCTACTAGTCATCGAATGTCCTTCGTACAATTCTTGGTAAGTACGGCTTTACTTGATTCAATAGGTTGCATTCCTACTGCCGTAATCGTCTTGACTGTCTTCTAATGGCCATATTTTGTTAGTGTTGCGTGGGAGAAGGTGGTGGATCTAGGGCGCCGGTTTGCCGCCCTGCTCTTATTTCTGTTCTGATATGTTTTCGAGCTCAGCTTCGCATAGTACTTTGCGTTTTATTATTGTTCTAACTTGTCCCGCAACTAATTGGGCATCTCTTGGCATCTGGGGCATCTGTTTTGTCCAGTGTTGA